GAAGTCGTATGCAACAAGCCCCGACGATCGTCGGGGACATATCCCCGACGACCTTCGGGGCTTGTTGCATAGGGTCGTCGGGGAGGATTCGTCGGGGATGAATCCCCCTAGTCTCGACTAGGGGGATTCATCCCCGACGGCCTCCAAACGTACGTGTTACTTGAGCTAACTCAGTGGTCAGTCAGTTGGACTGTCGACGCGTAAGGCTGCTTTCATAGCAGGGTCAACCGTCACGTTCGAACATTTTCGGGATTTTTGCGACCCCCTAGCTCTCGAGGGGGTCCAGTTGCGACCCCCTGTTTTTGTTAATAAGAGTGCTAGACATGAATCCGTTGCGCCAGAAAGCGTCTGCGCGTCGTCGCGTCGGCCTTGGAGCGCGGCAGGTATCACCCGGGCGCTGGAAGAACGGGACGCGGCGAAGAAAAAAATTTTAGAGGGGAATAACTTTCTTGGGACGTACTTTTTTGACTTGTTGAGGTAGATTTTGATTGTGCCTGAGGTGCGCTTTCAGAAAACTACAAGGATTGCCTAACTCTCCGGAAAGTACTTCTGTTAGAAGTGGAAAACCCAAAATTCTAAGAAGGCGCACCTTCAACTTTGAAGGCCCATAAAATCTTTCGTATGCGACATTTTGGAAATCTGTAAAAGTTTCAGAAACTTCAAATATTTCTCTAACAAAATATAAAAAGTTTAGTGATTGTCCCCTTTTTCAAAAAATTGTCCCGTTCGAACATTTTTCGTGCAAAAGCGAGTTTTTGGGCTTTCAGCGACCATAACTCACTTCATTTTCATTTCTGTGATGCACTTTTTTCATGGGGTGAAAGTACAGGATTTGCTCTTTCTGACAAGCACCAACCGTTTTCAAAATCCATTTTCCGAGAAAATCACACGTTCGAACATTTTGTTCCCATAGGTTTTTGAGCAGCACATGCGAGTTTTTGAGCTTTCAGCAATAATAACTTCCTTCAAAGAACTTGTTGGGGAGGGGCGAAGACATTTTTGAAGACTACGAGATTTCTGCTTTCTTATGTGTCTTTACCGTTGTCTGGAAGAATCGTCCTTCAGAAAATTAGGTCCCGAAGAACTTTAATTTCAGCCCCGAGAAGTCAAACCTTTCATAGGGATGCATTCAACTGTTCTTTATTCCTCATGGGAAACACCGTAATTTGCCCTAAAACTGTCTCTCTGTGCATAATTAATCGAATCTAATGCGGTCTGCACAAACAATTCTTGCCCTCGGATACGCCACGCACGCGCCTGTGGCTCTCAGTCCTCGAAATTGCGACCCCCTTCCGACCAAAATGCGACCCCTTCGTTCGAACAGTTCGAACGGACGGTTGACCCTGTTTCATAGTCTGCGATCCGTGCCGTCCGCGCCGTCCGTGCGGACCGCTCGGACAGGGTGAAAAACGTCAACATGCGCTCTGGCGCACAATTGCGTACTTAGCACGCACTTGGCGCCTCCCTCGATCGATAACTCGATTTCGGTGCATTTTTCAATGTTTGTGAATATGTGATGCGATATTGATGAGAAATCACTCAGTTCCCTTACCCTGCGGCACGCGCAGACGTTATCAGCGAAAAAGCGAGCTCTAGAAAGATAGTTCATTTGAACAATCAGCAAAGCGCACTGATTAACTTACCGACTTACCGAAACATATCGACTAAGGCAAGAATGAAGAAGTCTCAACTAAAAAACATGAATGAACGCACCACATATTCACAAACATTGAAAAATGCACGAAATGCACCGAAATCGAGGTATCGATCGAGGGAGGCGCCGACTGCGTGCTAAGCACGCAATTGTGCGCCAGAGCGCGTGTTGACGTTTTTCACCCTGTCCGAGCGGTCCGCACGGACGGCGCGGACGGCGCGGACGGCACGGATCGCAGACTATGAAAGCAGCCTTACGCGTCGACAGTCCAACTGACTGACCACTGAGTTAGCTCAAGTAACACGTACGTTTGGAGGCCGTCGGGGATGAATCCCCCTAGTCGAGACTAGGGGGATTCATCCCGACGAATCCTCCCCGACGACCCTATGCAACAAGCCCCGAAGGTCGTCGGGGATATGTCCCCGACGATCGTCGGGGCTTGTTGCATACGACTTCGGGGATATGTCCCCGACGATCGTCGGGGCTTGTTGCATACGACTTCGGGGATATATCCCCGACGACCGTCGGGGCTTGTTGCATACGACTTCGGGGATATATCCCCGAAGACCTTCGGGGCTTGTTGCATACGGCCCCTGGTTCTAAGTCATTCTCGAGCGATTATGAGCAGTCCCCGCCGTGGCGCGTGGCGTGTTCACTTTCCTCAGTGTCGAGAGGGGATATCCGTGAACCAGGGAGAGTGTAGCCGTCTGGGGGGTGGGGTGAGGGCAATCACTTGACATGCTCTGATGTTAGAATGTTCCACTCTCCGCTATGTGAACTGCCCCCTTCCCCTCCTCCTCCCTCCAAGCCACTTGAAGCTAACCATCTTCCAACAACGCCGGATAGATAGCGCCAAGATAGCGCTGGATGTTGAAGAACTGGGAATGAAGCATGGTCCCGCAACGATCAATATTCAGAAAGAGGGCAGCCTGCCAAAAGAACTCGTACTGCATTTTTTCAGGGTGTAGATTTAGTTGACAGTGGTTTCGCCATACATTGAATATGAAATATTCAATATGACTTTCATTTGAAGTGAAGATAAAAACTAAACTTCTTCGGGACTGTATGTGTAGGGTCGCCTGACTGCGAATCTAGCGATTCGCTAGCGAACAGTTTGAACCGCTGGTACGCAATTCGAGCGTCGCACCAATCGAACTGTGTACCAGCGGTTCGAACGATGTACCAGCGACTCGACACTGTTTGAGAGTGGCAGGACTCTCTCTCCCCTGCACGGACTCTCGTTTCTTTTCCTAGCTCTCTTCCCTTCGTAAGCCTGAGAATGTGGCAAGAGCCAGCATTTGAAGGGAAACCGGCCACTTTCAAACAGTGTTGGCGCTGGTACATCGTTCGATCGTTCGTACACAGTTCGATTCGCTGGTGCGATGCTCGTACCTCGTGATTCGCGAGCGAATCGCTGTATTCGCAATGTTTGACACCTGCCTAAATGTCCGAAAAGGGGTGGGGCGCAGATGAAAATTGAATAAGCAAGCGAATGGCGCAAAATTCAAGACGTTTGGCTCGAATATGGCGGAGAGCGCAACCGAGCGCTTTGAGTGACTAATTTAACTTTCCTTCATGTTCTGACGCGAAAGTCTAAAACGCAGAAGACAGCTGCGGTTTCACCCTCGGAGATTTTCGCAAGAGAATTTGTGAACCAGAGGAATACAGGGGACCACGGGGGGGGGGGAGAGAGGAGGTGGGTGAGGTGTCTGAAGTGAGGCACAAGCTAGAGCGTGCGAGATCGTGATGGTCACGAGAGTCTATTTAGACGAAACAGCACTGGCGAGGGGAGAACATTGACGCTTTTTCAAAGGTTGATTCCAGCCAGCCCTTAGACCTTCCAGCGTGCGCACACATTATGGGCACTGGTCGCTCTTTTTCTTCGAGTGTACCCACCGGAGACCCGTCGCGAGGCGAAAAGGCATAGATGCAGACTGCTAAACGGAGAGTCATACGCGTGCCAGTGCTGTTATTACGCGTCAAGTTAAATAGAATGTACAATACTACATGCCGCCTCGCACAGCACGCGCTGCGCTCCTCCCCTGACCCGTCTGCGTCTCTGCCCTCTTGCTATGCGACGGGCCTCCTGTCGGTGGCCCCTGCGTCAAAAATGAATACCGTAGTCATGACCAGGAGCTTCGAAATCCTACGGGAAGATACCTCAGAATTGTTCTGTCCCGAATTAAGTCGAATTCAAATTGTTTAATACACCTACGGGAAGAGTTAAAAAAATAATTTTTGGTTCTCATCCAGTAAGGGGGGGGGCATTGTGATGCAACGTCAAGTGGCTGCCCTCACCCCCCACCCCCTAGACTGCCTTCACTCCCCCTGGCTCACGGGGTCCCGTACTTCGAGAAACCTGTGCGCCAGGGGGAGTGTAGGCAGTCTAGGGGGGTGGGGGTGAGGGCAGCCACTTGATGCCCCCCTTACTGGATGAGACCCTAATTTTTTGCTCATCTCACCCCTACTACGGTTTCAAATGTCTAAGGGCGCATGCATGGTCGGTCGTCCGACAGCAACGATCGCAAATCGCAACTGTCGCACAGCATTAGATGCGTATCGATCGTCAGAAGTGCGACACTTACGACCGTTGCTGTCGGACGACAGCAAGTGTCGCACGATCAATACGCAGCTACTATTCCACACTACAATGGGACTTTCGAAATACCATCACGCGCAGTCACGTGTTGTCTGGGTTTGCATTGGGTGACCGCGTCGCCTTCCCTATGCGACCGCGGTATGCGACACCCACGATCGGACGACCGTTACGATCGTTGCTGTCGGAGGACCGACTATGCATGGCCCTGACAGTGCGCTTTTTTTTCTTTTCGCTCTGAAGTCAAGGTCAGACTTTGTGAAGAGAGCGATTCGAAAATTCTAACATCGGCCTAATGGTGTGATCAAACGGGTGTGGTCACCAGGATAGAAGGCAATTTTTCCGCGTTTCGCAGCGCGGGATATTTTTCGATGCGGGAAGTTCAGCCACCACCTACCATCAGCGAACCCGAGGTACCGCTGCGAAACGCGAAGGATTCGCTTTCTCTCCTAGCAACCACACCTGATCAAACGTTTTCGTTTTCTAGTTCGTGGTCCTCTGTGGTTATTGTTCAAAGCGTTTCCATTTCATATTTTAGCGGGTGTGGTTCCTTAGGACAGAAAGCGGTTTTTCGCTTTTCCTTGCGCAGAAGAATTCTCGCTGCGGGAACACTTCTAATCATGACCCGAGATCCCCGCAGCGAAAAATGTGTCGCGGTGCGTAACGCAAAAAAGTCGCATTCTGTCCTAGTGATTCACACCCTATTCCAGCTTCATAGTTTCAGATGACTTCATAACCCTTGAAGCCACGATGCTAGTTCCTGTCTGTTGCGACCGTTTGCCGGTGCGACTCGAAGTAGCCGTCATATCAGCCAAGGGCCTTCCTGTAATGAATAAGGTAGCTTTTCTCATATTGTGTGGACCAAAGAAGTATAAATTATGCCGGCTACAGGATTTGCATTTCAGTTTTTTTAAATAGCAGTCATAAGCTATAGATGCATTTGTGCATTAATACTGAATTTTATGGCGCTCATCCAGAAAGGGGAGGGGGCATCAAGTGGCTGCATTCACCCCTCACCCCCTAAACTGCCTACACTCCCCCTTGCGCACAGGGGCGGTATTCAATCCTTCCCCCAGGGGGATATATCCCCCTACTCTGATTCAATCCTCTGGGGGGACAAAAAAGGGTTGCGTCATAGGACCTAGCATACCTCTGTGTTTCTACCTGCCAGACAGTTAGAGCAGCGCTACTACCCTCCACTGATGAAGCACTCTTTTCCCTGAGGGGTCGCGCTGCTCTAACTGTCTGGCAGGTAGAAACACAGAGGTATGCTAGGTCCTATGACGCAACCCTTTTTTGTCCCCCCAGAGGATTGAATCAGAGGAGGGGGATATATCCCCCTGGGGAAGGATTGAATACCGCCCCAGGTTTGAAGTACAGGAGCCAGGGGGAGTGAAGGCAGTCCAGGGGGTGAGGGCAGCATCGCAATGCCCCCCCCCCTACCGGATGAGCGCCAATTTTATTTTGAAAAGGGAAATCTCTTTCTTTGTTTTATTTTTTTTAGAAAAGTTGCTCCAACCCATCCGCAAAATAGTCTGTACATTCCTTCCCTACTTTTCATTTTGACTCATTACAATTCACTGTAATCATTTTTATGGGATAAGGAGCTACGCGTAACTCTTGATGTACCTTCGCTTTTCGTTTGGGAATCGTCGGCTCCCAGATCTTCAATTTTGGGGGCGACCAAGTTGGTAGTTCCGCGGTTTACGTAACACTTGATTTTTCCTCAATGGTCCTGCCGCGATGGCTAGAGCACAGACGATTAGAGAACGGGTGAATGCCCTAGGACTAAGCCTTGGAGAGGAGAGGGACCCGCGAGAGAGCGCAGAGGCGGTTTAAAGGGCTGAGTTCAAGTAGTCCGTCGACCTAGTTCTGGCGAAGTGGGCGGGTGAATTTAAAACACCTTGCTGATTCAGATAGACTAGCCGTGCCCCAAAGTGTGAAGAAAGTCTCGGAGCCAGTGTCGCGCATCCAATTTCAACATGCTTTGCTAGGTAATCAAATCTGCTAGAACCTTATCGACGAATGCCAACGATAAGGGGTACTGGTTTGCGGGGAATATCGCTCATCCTTGATTTGAAGTTTTTTGACAAGACATTCGCGCGAAATTATGGTAATCTTCCTGAATTTTAGCTGGGCAGAGTAGTCGGGCATGGTCAGACTTCTACCTCTAACGCCTTAGCGTTTTCGTTCTCCGACATATTTTTCTCATAGCAAAGCATGATTTAAGAAAATGCTGAGATAAGACGAACACATTTCGTAACAGGTAGGAAACTACCTTGTTCTGGTAGACCCAGATGCATCTTTCAGCAAAGACCTAGATGTTCGCGAAGGTTCTTTTAGAGTGATCAGATGTGCTTTTGTTTGGCAAAGGCTTTCTAAACCATGACAATTTTTCAGTCTGGTTCATCCCTTTTTTTATTTTTGTCAGCATGTAGTTAAAAAGAGGGGTAAATGTAAACACAGAACTATACGAATTTAAAAGACTAAAGTTATTACGGCAAGATGCTTTTGATGGCTAGTACTGCGGAAGTCGATATAGGTATTTTGCTTTTTCCTTGCCATTACGCGTCATTCTGCTAGAAGGTCTACTACCATTCTACCCTTAGATAGCTTCTGCGAATTGAGCATCAATAAAATCAGTTTATGACATTCAGTTTTTGTGCATTTGCTCTGCGCTCAAAATCTGTGTCGAGGTGGGATGGCCGCTTCCCAAAAATCGTGCCTCTCCTACGCGGCCAACAAGCCAAAACACGTGCGCTTGTATGTTGTGTTGAAAAAAACAAAACAACTAACAATAATGAAAGTCTTATCAAACTCAAATGAAAAGCAACATCAAATATTCGAATTCGAAATTAGTATGGAAGCTCTCATTTGCTCAAATAGTTGCTGATTCTTCTGTGCCGAACAGGTTTTTTTTTATAGTGGATCAGTTATTGAGCCAACGTTCCGACTAATCCGTCGTCTTCAAAAGCTTGGAAACATTTCGCTTTCACAATTATCCTGCTTAACGCGGAGTTGCTCCTAACCAGTTACGGCTCCGAAACTTTCTTCAAACGTTAAGGCGCGACCGCGGTGAGTGTCCGAGTCAGTAGTCCCCAAATGCGCGGATAAATTTGAAAACGCTCCATCTGCACAGTTCGCGGAAACCTTGAACGCGTTTTCGAGTTTATCCGCACATTCGCGGGCGCTGACGACTCGGCCACGCTCGCCGTGAACGCGCCTCAAAATGTGAAGAAAGTTTCGGAGCCACCAGTCACAAGTGGATTCAAACGCTTGAGCAGAGTTGAGCCAACAGCGGTCCTTCATCTTACTTAACGCCTTAGAATCCGCTCTGCACCGAAATAAGGTAAAAAGTGAGACTGACCGACCACGTACTGCTACCACGATGCGCACGTGCAGTGTGAATATAAGTCAAGAGCACCGGTTATGGAGATGCACCCATTCCTGTTATTCATGCATGGATTACGTGCTTTTATCCAGAAAGCCTTCGAGGGTTTTCCTAGCACCGATGTCGTTTTCGTAGGCCAGTATGGTGCACTTAACGTTGAAATCGGATCCAGCATGATGTTCTTTTTTTATGTTGCTAAACGGTGCAGTCAAACTTTTGCTATCAGGATGTTGTTCTTTCACACGCACACCTAATCGCCTTCCAGTTTCTCTAATGTATGTAGCATCACAAATTAAACATTGAAGCTGATCGGCTCTCCCACCTTTCTTCACGATTTGGGGCGCGGCCGCGGCGAGCGCGGCCGAGTCGATAGTGCCCGCGAACTGTGTGGGTAAATTTGAAAACGCATCACCACCACAGTTCGCGGGCACTATCGACTCGTCCGCGCTCGCCGCGGCCGCGCCCCAAATCGTGAAGAAAGTGGGGGAGTCAAGATGGTCCAGACTCAGAGATCTATGTCCTTAGTCTCCCACTCTCCCATATGACCAGATAACGACACCGGTTCGGTCATAGAGACGATTCCTGACCAGATGAGGTTTGATGCTCTCTACGTCAGGTCAGGGCAAAAGTGGTGTAGTGGCAAGTGGTGCTGCCTACCACGTGCGCGATCTGGTCCAACCAAGCCTTCCATCCCTCCGGGGTCGGTTAATTGGTACCAGACTTGTCTGGGAGGATAAAAACACTGACTTGTACATCGGCTGGCCCCCGCAAGTCATTGTATAGGCCACATCGCATTCAAACGCCACTACGAATGTACAAATGGAAGTAGAATGCGTGCCGCATCCCAAAAGGAATTGATCAACGGAAAAAGCTTGTATATTTTATATATGCCGCATTAATAAAGGTTTTACTATGGAAACCTATTCGGCACAGAATCGACATATGTTCAAACAAATGCCAGGCTTCAAGAAAAGTCATCGTGGGAATTTCTCTGATCAGTGTAGTTATTTGTGCAGTTCGAGATTGCTTGAAGAACATCCCACAGTATTACTTTTGGGAGCATGGATCAATTTTATAAAATCTAGCGATGGGTTTCAGTCGATCAATTCAACGGACGCATTTGTGGAAGTGCGATTCGCTGACGAAGTACAAAAGACTGAGGTCGTGACCAGCCTCAGTCCACATTGGGACAGCGATCTTTTCCCTTTCGATACAGATGAGAAGCAGCTGTCAGAATGTTGGGTACAGTTCAGGTAAGCTATATTGCAGGTGGTGATAAGCACATTTCAGCTGGAAGCTGTTGCGGCACTATTGCACTATTACAACCCCAGTAGGGGTGAGATGGGTCAAAAAATAATTTTCGCTGAAACTTCGGCTATGGGGGTTATCGAGGGCCCTGATCACGAATATGACATCATTTTTGGCGCGCGCCAATTTGGCGCCAGGTGGCGCCACGACTGATTCCACTAAATTCGCTGTAAACTTGTATAGGGGTTATTTGGGGTCCTGATTACGAATATGACATTCGTTTTTGTTGTTGGCGCTATTCGGCGCCTATTTCCTGCTCGTCTGCGCCCTCGCACTAATTAGATCGCAATCAGGACTAAGCCTTTGAATAGTGGAGGGCTCCAAAGTGAGTAGGCCACTCCCCTGTGGTCTAACACACTCCAACTTTTGCCACACGGTGCGTGGTTTACCCACTCCGGAGTTTCACTCCCCTCCCCTAAGCTTAGTCGTAGGCGCTATAGGTGAGAAAGCTTAGAAAAGCAGAAAATATGCGTTAAACAGCACGAATGTCATATTCGTGATCAGGGCCCCAAATAACCCCTATACAGAAGTTTACAGCGAATTTGGGAATCAGTCGTGGCGCCAGCTGGCGCCAAATGGCGCCAATTTGGCGCCAGCGCCAAAAATGGATATCATATTCGTGATCAGGACCCTCGATAACCCCCATAGCAAAGTTTCAGCGAAAATTATTTTTGACCCATCTCACCCCCACTGGGGTTGTAATAGTGCAATAGTGCCGTGCATATAGACGAATAAGATTTCAGAGTTATGGACCACGACACCTATTCAGCAAACGATGCTATTGGACGTGTGAACTTGGACTGCAACATTCTCGTAGAAAAGATGAGAATGCAGGAAACGGAAAGGCTTGATGAAGTTCACGTCCTACCCATCTATGACACACTCAATGGCGGGTTCGAACAATATATTCTTTTTGTGGTAAATGCGAAACTGTTGTCTCTATTTTACGTCACTTCCTGGAAGAAATGTGATTTGAATGACTTGCCTCCACCGTTAGAAAATTTGACGCTGGCTATTTTTGTGATCTCCTCGGTTGTTGCCGGTCCACCTTGAACTCATTTTTATTTATAACGTTGCCCTTAACTACACTTTTACTAGGCGTTGTAATGTAACGAGGGCCGTTGTTCAGGGAATCGTGGTGAACTTGCTTTTCGCATCAAACTGCAGTTGCTAGTGGGAACTGATTTCAAAAATTACGTGCAGATTTTATCAGGTTTGTTCCATTCCTCTTTGATGATTGGTTGTGAATGGCTCCAAGGTTTTCTTCACACTGTGGGGTGTGGCCGCAGCGAGCGTGTCTGAGTCGGCATTGCTTCCGCTTCACGGATAAATTTGAAGAAGCTCCACTCAAGATGCCTGCAAGCTGTGCTTATGGAGTGCTTTCAAATTTACCACGCAAAGGAGGAAGCACTACCGACTCGGCCGCGCTCGCCGCTGCCACACCCCAATGTGTGAAGAGAGTCTCGGAGCCGTTGTGATTATTTCCTTATTATCTTCGTTCTTGGATCCGCCGATTCCGTTATCCTTTTCACCCGGTGTCCCCCAACAGGCCCACCGCGCGGCGAAGCAAGAGACGCAGACGCGGCAAAGGGACGAGTCGCAGCGCATACTGTAGCGGTTAGGCGTCAGGTTAAATAGAGTGTACCATACTACGTCTCATATCGCACAGCACGCGCTGCAACTCGTCCTTTGCCGCATCTGCGTCTCTTGCTTCGCCGCGCGGTGGGCCTGTTGGGGACACCCCTTTTCGCCAATTGAACTCTTCCCACCATATATACATATTTTTAATACAGTAGCGGTCGAAAATTTGGAAACATTCACTTCTGACCAGTGTAAGCGGTAGGCACTGGAATTGTCTCTATTTCACAGAGCAGACGCAAATTCAAGTTGCAAAACAGATCAATAAAGTTTTGGGGAATCCAAATTATTTTAACAGTGAAAACTAACAGTGAAGACTTTTTGAATATTCCTTCAAAAGTTTGGAACTGTAACAGGAAACTGTGTAGACTAACTCTCAAAACAAGAAACGAACCAGAATATCGTTGAGTAGCTCAGCAGAGTCACAATATTATTACATCAATCCACTCAATCCAATAGAGCAGCCGTTTTGGACTGTGGAGCCCAAGCCCAAACGCAACCACCAGCCCACGTTTTGATTTCGTTAATCGTTGGAGTTGGTACGACATCCAAACTCTCCCCTGAAGAACCCAAATGAGTTCTGGTGTAAACCTTGCTTTGGTCTTTCATCATAGTACCTTTCTCTGACTGGGGAAGTCTTTCAGGGCAAACCGCCTTTTAACGGTTTCCTGCATGTTGTAGGGACGCATGTATGGACCACAAAACCATGTTTTTCGCTGAACGGTTTTAGTAGTACCAAAAAAGTGGTGAATAATACTCTTGATGGTTCGATCCCCCGCGGCGACTAAATTTTGCAATCAAGGTTGGCGGCCACTTGTTGGCTTCAAAATGGTCCTGACGATGAATATGACATCTGATTTTGACATTTAGCGCGATTTGGCACCAACCCGTAGGCGCCAACCCAAATGCAAAATTTGGTTGCCACGGGGGGTAGAAGGAAAGTTTTCGAACATGTGAGACGCCATTTTGGAGTAAATTGTAACCACCATGTGGCACCGCCACACGCGATAGGTTTTTGTAGGCTTATGCGAACAACAGGGTTAAGACCAGAGTCAACCCTGCGTTGCGCAGTTCTCAACGGCCACGTTGCGCAGTTTCGCCCGATTAGACACGTTCTCTCGCGCGAACATTCACACTCGCATGCTCGAGCCGTCTGCGTCTCCGCCCATACAGCGTGCGTTGAGGATCTCTCAACGTGCCGTTGCGAACTGCGCAACGCAGGGTTGACTCTGGTTAAGACAGGGCTAAAGTAGGTGTCCGGGCCTCATCACAAAAGAAGAGATTTCCGTTGACGACAAGTTCGTAGCCCGCCTTTCCGCTCTAAAACTAGGGTGCAAAGAATGAATGGAAGCTGTAGGTGACATTATCGAAAAATGCGAAACAACAACCCCGAGCAAGGATGTGGCTATATTTAGGGGAAGGGGTCTCGGGACGTGCGAACCATGGGTAAGCCACCCATCAAATAGTAAACTTATGTAAATGTATGTAAAATTTATTGTAGGTTTGTCAAAAATCCAGCCGTCCAGGTCCTGGGAAGATATGTTATTCCACATTGCTGAGAGTATATACGGGTATATTTAGATTGTAGAAGAATTTAGAATTACTGTAGAAGATTTAGATTTCTTGAATTTAGAAATATTACAGAATTAAAAGAAATAGTCGTGCGTCACCATGTGGCGCACGCCGTCCGTTGTGGGTTAATCTCTGATTTTCCTGAGTAAGAATGTGCATCTCGTTTTTTGTTTGATTTGCTGTCTGCTGTGTGAAGTAGAGAGACATCCGTAATTGGTAAGGCTGCTTGACCGGATGCATAAAAGCTGCTACTGCCCATCTATGCTGATGAACCGTTGAACTAAATGCACAGAAAAGCCTTGTCCGGTTTGTGGCTCGCGGTTTGTAATCGGTCAAAAATCATCTGTCAATTTAAGCGTCTTTTTTTCTCCCAATATACTTTTTCTCTTACAGGATACCAGGTGCCTTTTGATCATCGAGTAGTCGGAATTGTTGGGTTGGTGCACGTCCTGAAATCTGAAAAGGATCCCGATTACGAATGGCTGGACAGGTATATATCTGGAATATAACTTTAGTCTCATTAGAAACTTGTAGAGAATTTACAGTGGCTACGCTTACGCCAGCTTATATACTTTGAGTGTAATCTTTAACCAATCTACTGATTTCTTTGGTCTTTTTTAGAAAATCTAGACGGCAAGGGTATTAGATCAGGTCTCCGCTGCTCCCAAAGTCCCTCTAGTACCGCGGCCACAATTGCACCATTACAGAGCAGTGAGTGTATGGACTGTACACCGCTCGCTCAGTATCTGTTTTCGCCACGACGGTTGTCTCTGGCGAAAACAGATACTGCGCGGTCTACTGTCTTACCGGCCTTTCAAATCGGGCCAGTGTGCTGCGCTCGTGTGTATGTGTGTTGTCACATTCCCGCCTAGATAGCGGCTCATGACAACCAAACAGGGTCAACCCTATGTTGCTACAAGTAGCAACGGGGGGTCGTATTTTGATGAGTTTGTAGAGGGGGGTCGTACTTGCTTCGATTGTAAGAAGTTGCATGAGATGAGTGGGGAGGGGGGGGTCGTACTTGCTTCGATTGTAAGAAGTTGCATGAGATGAGTGGAGGAGTGGCGCGGGAGAAAATTTGCCGTTTCAGCGCGCGTATATACCCTCCCCCTAGAAAATGAAGCAGTGGGATTATAGGTAGAAGTGGGGTAAATTGGTGGAAATTTAGGGAATTTTGGTAAATTTTTACTGTTTCAGAGTGACTATATACCCCCGCTCGACGGCATTTTTGGAGGAAAAAGTGGGCGGGGTTTTGATGGAAGATGGAGATGGTGGAGGTAGGGAAAAGGGGGTCGTATCAAATCCACCTTGGGGGAGGGGGGTCGTAAAAAAATTTCGAAAAGTAGCAACGATAGGACCGACCCAGCTACCAAAGCTGGTTGAAGTGCGGCTGCGATGGTATTGGCATGCGCTAAGAAGGCACCAGAATCACCCTGTAAGGAAGGCACTATTCTTCGAAGAGGAAATGGTGATGTCAAACAATGTTGGTGGGTCCTATAACTGACAAGAATCTAACCTCAGCCCCAGCCGATGGACTACCGTAACCCTGACGTGACATGCGCGCCGCCGCAACCGCACACTTCGTATTCAGCTCGACGTCTCCTCATAGGATTTTGTAACGGCAAACACCGAATGATGTGTTTTGTATTCCGCCGCGCGGTACCCTTATCTGAAATCCTCGTTCCGGTTCATCGTTACTTTTTACTTACCAAACTTTTGTTAGTGGGAACGAGCTTGTTTGGAAATGAAATCATGTTTAAGAAAGGTTGTACAAATTGTGAACATTGAATCATTTCATCACCCGAGAAGATTTGCATTTTGTGGAGCTTGTCATCACTTCTGGTGTTTGGTCTGCACTCGACGCGGATCTGGTTCTCAGAAATAGGGGGTTCCCTCCTCCTTCCGATCATTATCGTATGAACTGGTGAATGTTGTGCGGCCGTAATGAAAACAGAATCTATGATTAAATATTCAAAAACTAAATTCGTTGAGTAGTCGGGCGGCTTCCCTTTTTCTGCGGGTGTTCTGTGGTAAAGTTGCGAAAGTTTATCCAATTTTGAGATTACCCATCATGAGCCAGCTTGATTGGGCAGCGTAGGTTTTCAGAGGGAAATCTCCATATCGATTTATTAGAAAAACGCGTCCTTGGGGCTTTCTATACGACGGTTACAATTTTTGAGAGCTACTCATTTGTGAGACTGCACAGGAGTATTAATGTAGGCTAGCGGCAGACAGTACATTGTATAAGAAGTACTGCCATGAGAGTGCTAGAGACTGTAAAATGTGAACAGTGCTGTCTGGACGAAAAGTGGAAAGCTCGTTTAAAAAGTGTAACATCTCAATTAAGCACTCGTTTTTCCCTAAATACTTCATTTTTTTGGTATCATTGTTCAGGGGGGGTCCAGCGGAGCAGACTGCTCTGCTCCGTGAGAGCCCACGCTGCGCAATTCGAACTAGACAAGCCTCTTGCGCCTGCCTCACACTGAAAGATTCCGAAAAGTCTCCATAATATGCTTAGACGATGATGACTACAGAGAACAATTTAGCGCCAACGTGAAATACAGTTATGATCTGCGCAACACGTCTCTTCTGTAAGATTATTTACATCCTGTTTTTTCTCGAGAAAAGAGTGTCTACATATACGTGGCTTTTCCTCCAGTGTGTTTTAAGTCGAGAGCACATCGAAGAATGAGTGGTGGGCGCCCAAAAATTCTAAAAATTTCATGTACCGAAGTGTGGTCTGACCGTGATGAGGTACAATACAGCTTCGGCTTTTGTGGAGGACTGCGCCACTCATTCTGCTTCCATTTGAAAGCGTAGCAGCATCTGTATACAAATTCGCCTGTATGAAAAGGGGGAGCCTGCTGATGTACAAATCGCTATTTATTTTATTACATGAGTTCCTTTACCCTATGTAGATGGAAGACATCTTTGCTCTGGCGGGATCCGGGGATTGGATTTCACGACGGTCCGCCTATGAGGGCGTTTTACTACATACTACACCCCGCCCTTTACCCTCTGGCTTTAAAGGATAAAGGATAAAGCATTTGCCGTTGATCAATCCCTTTTGGGATGCGGCACGCATTCTACTTCCATTTGTACATTCGTAGTGGCGTTTGAATGCGATGTGCCTATACAATGACTTGCGGGGGCCAGCCGATGTACAAGTCAGTGTTTTTATCCTCCCAGACAAGTCTGGTACCAATTAACCGACCCCGGAGGGATGGAAGGCTTGGTTGGCCCGGGCGACTCACGACCCAGGATTTGATCCCGGACCGCTCGCGTGGTAAGCGCGCCACTTGTCACTACACCACTTCCGCCCGGCTTTATGAGACGAAAATTCGAGATCACCGTACCGCCGCGATAAACTCAGTCCTGGTAACTTGAGGATCTACTTCTACCGAGGATCAATATTTAGTTCACCAGTTTAAGGAAACGAGCCTCACGAATTTGGTCAACCGCACCCACAAAACCCTTCTCAAAACTAGAGAACGCCAAAGAGCGCACAGTCATGACCATCATTATCCTGACTTTTGCCACGACTGCATAGCGCATAGTATGTTCTAATAAGCCTTCAGAGCCGTATTGTGAGCTAATTTGTCGCCTACCATGCCCTTATCCTCCTTACTGTTAGCAGATTCACTACATATTTGCTAAGAATAGAACGAAAAGTTTAATAGTGCAGTGAAAAAACTTCCAATTTGCTCGATAGGTGTGAGAAGTGGAATGAGCAACAGATAGTAAAGAATAAGTTAAAGGAATCCCAGCTTGAACCACTAGGAGAAAGGAACTCAATCAGACGTCGAGCCGAGTGCAAAGTATGCGGCTGCGGCGGGCGCGCATGTCACGTCAGGGTTACGGTAGCCCATCGGCTAGGTACTGAGGGTAGATTCTTGTCTATAACTGTGTGCGAGTAACACAAGAAGAAGGAGAAGAAGAGCAATCGAGCCTAATTTCCTGCTGTCCTCCAGCCAACTGTGCTCTTGCCTGTTGCGGCAGCGAACATTTATTTGTTTATTTATCTTTCCTGGTAAGATTCAAAAGGAATTAAAAGTAGAGGGTCTTAAGGATGTCACGCAACTATGTCTGAAGAACAGGATCTCTCTTTGCGGCCTCAGAAATTAAAAATACCTACCATGCGCTGCAGATGTAGAAAACTCTTTTCGTTGATTGATGAAAAACGCAAATCATGCCTTCTATAAAACCGGAATTCCTTGCCATCATTGTGTCGTATTCTTGTTTGCATTTACGTTTTGTTTTGATTTGCTTGTTTACTCCAAAGTAGAAATCGAAAATTGAACTAAACTGAAAATTTAGTGAGACCCAGAAGACGTTTTCTCAACCAGACCATATTTATCAGCAAGATAATGTGTAATCTATGTAGTGGTAACAAGAAATTTCGGAACAAGTTGGACAAGTGCGCATGCGCGTCAGAATGTTCAACCTTTCAAGAATGGTGAACAGGCTGACTTAGTTTGAGCCTTGTACTCTAATGCAATTGGGGTACTGAAGCACACGCTATGTCACTACACACTTCCTCGGGTTCGCCTGTGGGATGCCGTCACTCGATTGTATGCGCTGAGGGTTATCCAGCACCCTGGTTACGTAAGAGGCATTCATTTTCGATGTTAAGCTGACTTTGCGTCACAGTTCGGCACCACTTTGGCATCGCATCGATCTTTGCATATGCCGCTCTCTTATGCATAAAACACTTTAAAAAAGCGAGACATATGAATCTCCCTTTTCGTTCAAGCGTTGATTTCCCGCAGAGAATGGATCCTTCATAACCTCAGGTCAGCAGAAAAGGTTGAGTCAGTAGTCGTGCGAGGCCCCCTTCCACTGCATAATATTTGGAATTCTCTCATACCATGTCTAATGAATGTGTTTCATAGGTTTTTCGTCAGCGGTTACATAATTCAGCTGTTTTTATCGAGCTCTTCACCGAACCATTGGTCTTATTTGTAGAATTCGGACGCCGAGGGCAACAAATGAGGCTCGTCAATCAGCTATTCGTGATGCTCTGCGAAGTGCGGCAGTTGCTCTAGCTCACAAGGTCAATAAACTTCAGTGTAATCTCATATGCGGGTAAGTTAGTTGTATTTCTACCGTGCATTAAATTTGTAGTTTTGTACGTGGGTAGTGCAACTTTCGGATCACCAATTTTAAACAATCATTACCATTTCAAGAACACATACAATCTTACCGGCAGGATCCCATTATCATGCCAAAGTCGGGCCAGAGTATTCCACAGTGCTCCGCATAATGATACGTCCAAATTCAGTTTTGCCAAAAACTGGCATCAAAAGATGTTTTCGAAGAGGCTCTGAAACGAAAATGCGATGCATTTAAATAGAGCTTTACATAACAGCTGAGCTAACAGCTAAGTTTCAACTTTGAAGGAAAACGATTCTTTCTTATTCAATTTCTAAAAAATCACTTTGCCCAATCACGAAATCGTACTTCCACATGTTTTTCCGCCGTATCTTATTCTTGCCTTGCCTGACAAATTTTTTGATCATTTTCCGGGAGAAGGAGAACAGCTGTCAGTTTCCAAAGAGGAAAAATCTTAGCAAACGAGTTGGAAAGATTGTCTGTCGAATCGCGCTGAAACTTGGTCGAGATCACTTTGTCACGAACAGTTTTCCATGGTTTCTGCAGGATATGATGCTATGAGGAACCCAGGCTGCATTCCTTTGTTTTCATACTGATAAACTCTTAGGCAGATAAGACTTATAATGCCGCCCAGAGAGAAGAATACGATTTAACCAGGCGCAATCAGGGTCAAGCGAGGCGTCGAGGAGAATTCTGAAATACGACCCCTCCCCTCCTCCTGAAATCTTGGTCGTCGGTACAGTTCATTTCGAAGCACGCCACGCCCACTGTGGGCGGGGCTCCGCTTAGCTGATGTGTGTTTTGTACTTCGTGAGACCTTGCCCACCCATCCCACACTTGACCCGGTCCCTCCAGGCGGATCCCGAGGAGCTAGGGAATTTCGTGACAGACATACAGAACGACAGACAGACGACAGACGAAGCGCTTTATAGTGTGTAAGGATGAATCAGTGACCGCTGCTCCTTGTTCGTGTCATATGCACACATGAGGGCGACATTTTGGACTCAATGTGTTCGAACAAAATTTCTAGCAAGAGAAGCTATCGTTCCCTGATATTTGATATATCCAGCTGTACGCCAGGAAACGGCCGTCCGAACAGGTACCCACGTCTTCTAATACCTTTCGACCAATGGCGTTCGTTTTACGCTCTATCTCTCGCTAAAGTCCCACTCCCCTCAGCCGCGCTGGGGTCATCGGACGATTCTTCAACGCACGTTCGCTATGGCATCACGCAGCACGCACCGAGTAATGCCAGAGCGAACGCGCTATCCTTCAGTTTTTGAATAGAGCCACACCATTGTTGTGTGTGGTTTGGTTAATTCTCTTCGAAAATGATTTGCTTTGTTCTGTTAAACCCCATTTGAACTTTTTTCTACGTTTCCTTCAAACATTCTTTTTTTAGGTATCAAGAATATCTTGATGTTGAAGGATCTTCCACAGATCTGTTCACAGTACGCGTATTGGGCACAGCGTTGCGGATCGAGAAGGGAAATTCGGGTGGGTTTTTTTTTACCCTAATGAAAGGCACTTGGGTTAATATTTTTGATGCTTTGTTTTCAAGCATGCACTTTACAGGTATGTGGAACGAGCGTGTGGCTTTCCCCTTGTTAAGCTTGAGCAAGATACCTGAGAATAGGTGTGCATTGCTTATTAGCTCCTGTGCTTTCTCAAAGTATTTACCCTCTTTCTCAGACAATGCGGTATTGGTGCAGTAGTTGTTGTCAGAGCCGTTCGTCTTCTAGAAGGTGATGATGAAGATCCTGAGGATACGAGAAAGAGGTGAGCATAGAATGTTATTCCTTGCAGTTTCTTTGGAATTGACTAAGTGGTTGACTATTAGATTTATCCATAATTTCTGCAACAGATTGGCTAAATTTGATTTAATTTTTTTCATTATTTCTTTGTTTGATTCATCCACCAAAGAACATTAGCATACACACAATCATTGTGCAACCTTGCCAGGACAGGGGAGGAGGTGGTGTAGTGGCACTGCTTGGGATCAACCAAGCCTTCCAACTCGCCTGGGTCGGTTAATTGGTACCAGACTTGTTTTGCAAGACGAAAACACTGACTTGTACATTGGCGGCCGAACTACTTGAACTCGGCCCTTTAAACCGCCTCTGCGCTCTCTCATGGGTTCCTCTCCTCTCCAAGGCTTAGTCCTAGGGCCCGTTCTCTAGTCGTCTGTGCTCTGGCCTTTCGCAGCAGAGAATACAGAGGCGAGTTCAAGTAGTCACGTAAGCAATCTTGTAGTCCATCGGTCCTGCTCGAAGAAAGATAGGATGCCGATTTTGACATCATGATAATTAGAATAATATTTTTCTTCAAGACGTTGTCCTGAAAGAAGAACATTCGTGGGATCCATTCATCCGAGGTCAGGGCTATAAGGTGGATATGAGAAAACCGTCCCTCCGAGAGCCTAGAATTTTCCTGGATCTTAGCAATGGTGGTTCAACTGTATCATGAAAAACTAGACCGTGTCGTGTTTTTTTTTTCATATTGGAAGCATTGCAATCAAGTTGTCAACGATTAACTTCCCTGTTAATGGTTACATTTGCTCGTGGGGTTTTCAGTGCTCAACTCCTCTCGTTCCCACGGAAAATTCCGGAAGGTCTGACTTGGACGAAGTAGATCTTTAACAGTCAGAACTCCCAAATCGTTTAAACAGGACTACCTCCGCATGTATATTTTAGCCCCTCTCCTTGTCAGCATCAATATGATGGATGCCTACCCTTCCCTTCAAAAAGCCAGAAAGTGTCGGGTGCAGACCATACACCACAAGTGACGACGGCCTCCACAAAATGCAAATGTTTTTTGCCAATGAAATGATTAGCCTGTTGCAGTTGTATTCTATCAGTTGTCACTAATTACAACTATCATTTACCAAAATCAGCTATCACTATGAACCACTACTAACCAGATTTACTTGGAGGCCGTCGTCAGTTGTGGTGTTGGTCTGCACCCGACACTTTCTGGCTTTTTGAAGGGGAGGGGAGGAACTATGGTACGTCAGCTTGAATATGATGATGTTAGATCTGCTCTGCGCTAATTCGGGCTTGAGGGATGTGGGATACAAACTATATTCCTAGGTCTTTGCAAACTTCAGAGATGTCTCACAAGGGAAGGATACCAGGTCGAAGTGGCCATTTGTAACGAGACATACACCACTAGATGTGTTTTTGGACGCTGATCTCGAATCTGCTCTCCAAATCTGCGAAACGATTCTCTGAACGTAGTTATGAAGCGAGATAGTGCAGTGGCAGCGGCCCGGCCGACGAGCAAGAGGTCGTGAGATCGAATTTTTGGCGAGTTCTCACTTTTGCACGTTCTCCAACACGTGCGCGTCATTTGCGAGTGACCGTCTCTGGCACCCGTAGCGCATGCGTCATGCACTTTCTTGCCAAATAGATGTGATTTTCGTGTTCAGCGCATCAAACTACCCCTTCCGACAACTTTTGGTCCAAATCCAAAATTTGACCTAAAGTCGAAAATGTGGGCACACACGACCGACAGGACACGGCAAATGACGCGCACAGTGTTCGAAGCTCTTTGCCAGCTCTTTCCACTTATAGGATAGGCAGTCGCTGATGATTTAGCATGCATAAGAGTTCCTTTGAACAATGTTTTCAAGAAAAGCAGCTGAGAACTCGCCAAGAAGTCGATCTCACGACCTCTTGCTCGTCGGCCCGGGCCGCTGCCACTGCACTATCTCGCTTCATAACTACGTTCAGAGAATCGTTTCGCAGATTTGGAGAGCAGATTCGAGATCAGCGTCCAAAAACACATCTAGTGGTGTATGTCTCGTTACAAATGGCCACTTCGACCTGGTATCCTTCCCTTCACTTGTCAGTACTGTCACTTTATCAGAATCGCTCTGGCAGCGAATGATCGGTGGTCTATCTACATCGCTTTCCGACAGCGTAGGTAGGTATCGTCAATCACCATGCCCTTCTACATGCCCGCGCCCATCTCCTTGTTAATCCTTAATGTAGCCTGACTTGCGGAGTGCTCAAACTGTACTCGTGAACAACAAGGGCACGAGGAGCTTCTCGGAAAACTAATGTAGTAGCCAAAACAAGTGGGCGAGAAAATGAGTTGGTCTTTTGACCGAAATGGCAAAGTAGATGCTACATCAGCGAACATGTAGCAGAATTTTCGCATTTGTCAAAAATTGCTCTAGCATTAAATGTTGTTTCTTGCAGAAATTATGGACCAACCTGGTGGGAATTGATTCCTTCACCATCATGTTCTCTTCTGAATTTCACTGTGTGAATAATACGTTAAGTCATGTCAGTAGTTCTCATGTTACAGTTGGTGGAATGAGTTGCGAGCTGAGTGCCAGCAGCAGGCCCTTGCTGTCGGCTGTAATCTAGTGATTGGTTACTCGGAGCAGTTCATCGTGAATGACAGTATGTAGTTTTTTTGAGTTTTTTTTTGCCGAGGAGTATACTTTTTCCTACTCAATTCATTTGAAGTCAATTTTAGCAGTTTTCATGTGTACTCTCCCTAAAGGGACAATCGTGACGTTGTGGCAAATTTCGGAATTTTGCCCGATCACCCTCCCCTCTCGCCTCCCACAACCTTCTCTTATTGGAGAGGGACAAGAGTAGAAAGCAAATGCTTCTTCCCCTTCTTTCATTCATGCGTGTTCCGTGAAATTTCGTGAATTTATCAAAAACCACCTTTCCCTCTTCCTTCACTAGCATCACGATCCTCCATCTTTCGGCACAAGGACCCCCTAAAATCCCAACCTTAACACTCTTTTATACAAACTCACGACCCTTTTTCCCACAATCACTATGCGCAAAAACTAAAATTACGACTGTTTGACCCCTCCGAAAAGCCAACCAGATTCCTCCTTCCCCCCCCCCCTCCCGTTGGTCTTTGCTCAATAACCGGTTAACCCTAACAGGGGGCGAATGTAAAAAACTTATCTGTACTTTGAAGCTTTAATGAAACCGCTATGAAGTCAGACCTGTTAAGTCAGTCACGAAAACCTGCAGATTAGATCGGAATCTATTAAACAATCTTGTAATACCCCTCCACCTATACATGAAGGTCATCAAAAGCTCAGCCTTACCCCTCAAGTTCTACCATCTTGAATTTCAGGGAAAGCGTGGAGATGCGAATTGACCGTAATAGCCGGGTAAGCATGAGAAAGGCGACTAGAGCGCTGAAGTTCCCAAGCACAACCATGTGTATAGCGGTGAGATAAAATTGCTCACAGTCCATCATTAGCCGCACAAGCACCACGGCTCAATCGAACAAGTGGAACACAGCAATGACAAAAATTGTGAAGGGCTGGTGCCTCTTCTTCTTCTTCACTTTAGCGTCTGTCCCGCTTGTAGGCGGGGTCCGCTTTTCTGATGTGTTGACGCCACTTTTCCCGATTGAATGCTTGATCGGGATGATGAGGGGATGTTAACAGTTTTCAAGTCTTCGTGCAACGTGTCCAAATCGCTTCTTGATGACACCATTACGAATGCGATCTAACATTGTGACTCCGGCTGTCCAGCGCAGCATCTTTGTCTCCATCACACTGAGACGGGCTTCAACTTCTTTAGTCGCAGGCCAGCACTCAGCACCGTAAATGCGACCGGCCGGATGACGGTTCTATAGATCTTGGATTTGAGACGCTTCTGGTATGTTCTTATCGCAGAGAACGCCAGTCATCGAGCGCCATTTCGACCAGCTGCACTTCACGCGAGAATTCGTTTCAGAAACTAGACTCTCGTCAGTCCCTCATTGGACTTTCTTCGAGGGACGGTTGACCCTGATTCCAGCACTTGGATTTCCACAAGTCCGCCGCTAAGTCGTCAGGACCAGTCGCTTTGCCTGATTTCATCTTCTTCATGGCCGTGATGGTCTCCTCCATGGTTATCTTCTGAACGGGGCCGTGTACTGGCGGAGCGCAAGGGATGGCGGGATGAGCAAATTCGACTGTTGAGATGTTTTCGAAGTAGTCACGCCATCGCTTCAGTGTTTTCTTGCGGTCCGTCAAAAGGTGACCATTCTCGTCATTTATGCCGAAGAACTTTTCTATATCCTCGGTCTGGCGATAGCGGGTCTTTGCGAAGTCGGTAAACGTACCGCTCTCCATCGCGCGACTCGAGTTTCTCGTTGAGATCAGCAAAATGAGCTGCTTTCGCAGAAGCAACGGCCTTCTTTGCCTCTTTCTTCGCTATCTGATAGCGCTGCCAGCAACCGGCTGTCTTCTCCGAAAGAAAAGCGTGGTAGCGCTTTTTCTTCTTTCTCTCTAACTTGATCCGTCCACAGCCATGTTTGCTTATCAACCTTTCTCCGTCCAGGCTTCGTCATGCCGAGCTCGGATCGCGCAACCTGGGTTATCGCTTCAGCAGCACATTTCCAAGTTTCGTTAGAGACGTAAAGCATTTTCTCTGCGGATTTAGAAAAGTACTTTCTAGGATGCCTTACAGGCCGATAGTCTTGTGTTGTAACGAAACTGACTGGGCAAGCCTCTCGGGACATTGAGCACTATAGAGATATGCGCAGGGAGCGCAAAACTGGCTGGGAACAATTTTTTTGAGCGGCTCTGGAAATGCTTGAAAAATGTCTCCACTGAGGTAAAAAAATTTCATTTCTCTGATATCCTTTTTCTTTAGCTCGTATATGCCTAAACTTATTCAGTGCTTCTGGAAATTTTCGTTTGAGGAATCGCCTTACTTGGCTGTAGCGGAACTGCTGTACTAATGGGGCGAGAAGACGAATCCCCGCTAATGAGAGGCGTTTTTGGCATCGAAACCGACCTTAATGAGAAGAAGTCAAAAGTAGGGATCTCGTCTTGTTCATTCAGGCAGTGTTTCACTGTTTAACTAAATTTTTTTTTCAAATTCTTAGTATTTTCTTTACTTTATGATACCACTTTTGAGAATTTATATTTATTCCATTATTCTGGTTTAAAATGTTATTGTTTGCCTCATAGATTTTGTTTTCATATTGGATGACCAGTTGGCGCCGCACGCATTGCGCGCGCAACACAGATCTGTGGCGAATTTTGATGGTGCGACGAAAATTTTCAAATTTGGCTTGATACAATACGAATATCTGAATTCTCCGCTAAATTCTATGCGCTCTTTCTTCGTCAACCATTATCCTATTTTTCTCGGTCCTCGGCCCGGACAATAAATCTCGTGGCGAACTCCGTCTACTTCGGTGCGTGCCCTGCCGACCAATAGCATTTGGCTCCCTTCTTTTCGCCGACCTCTACCCCCTTTTTCACCGGTCTCTGGGACCTCTTGGAACCAAATTACGACACTTTTGGCAAACTCCGCCCACTTAGGTGCGTGCTCTACCCAGTGATAGCAGTTGAGCTCTTTTCCCTCACCAACCTCTAACCCCGTTTTCCCCTATCTCTAGGACCTCTTGCAACCGAATTGCGATACTTTTGGCAAACTCCGCCCACTTGGGTGCGTGCTCTACCCACTAATAGCATTTGACCTCCTTTCCTTCGCCGACCTCTACTCCCTTTTTCCCAGCCTCCTGGACTTCTTGGAGCCGAGTTATGAATTTTCGTCGCAAACTCCGCCCACTTTGGTCAAGCCCCGCCCACCATGACAGCTGGCCTCCACTCCTCCACCCACCTCCATCCACCTTTTCCCCAGCCTCCGGAGCTTCATGGAGCCGAGTTATAAATTTTCGTCGCAAACTCCGCCCACTTTGGTCAGGCCCCGCCCACCAATGACAATTAACCTCCACTCCTCCACCCACCTCTATCCACCTTTTCCCCAGCCTCCGGAGCTTCATGGAGCCGAGTTATAAATTTTCGTCGCAAACTCCGCCCACTTTGGTCAAGCCCCGCCCACCATTGATAGCTGGCCTCCACTCCTCCATACACCTCTATCCACCTTTTTCCGGCTCTTTAGGACTTCCCCGACCCGAATTATGAGGGCTTGTAGAAAATGCTGTACACTTCAGAGCGCGCCCCGCCCATTCTGGGCGGGCCTCCGCCCACGTCATGTATGCAGGAAACACCTTAGACATTGCTCCCTTACACCAAATTGTTTTCTGCTCTGTAGGCTTTCTCCCAACCGAGTTATATGAAATTTTTCATAAAGCACTGCTTTTTTGAGAACGCCCCGCCCACCGGGGTGGGTCTCCCTAATTCGATGTGACTTACCAATGCACACCTTACCCACTTTTTGGCCCAGTTTCGAGGTCGTTTTGTCACTGAAATCGAAATCTTGGTCTTCGGTACAATTCATTTCGACGCACGCCACGCCCTCTGTGGGCGGGGCTCCGCTTAGCTGATGTGTGTTTTGTATTACGTGAGACCCTGCCCACCCATCCCACACTTGACCCGGTCCCTCCAGGTGGATCCCGAGGAGCTAGGGAATTTCGTGACAGACATACAGAACGACAGACAGACAGACAGACAGACAGACAGACAGACAGACAGACAGACAGACAGACAGACAGACAGACAGACAGAACGACAGACGAAGCGCTTTATAGTATGTAAGAAGATCGTCCAAAAAACGTGATGATACGTTTGAGAGCCATATACAAAAAATTGAATGAAACGAACCATAATAATAATACAACGTGATATACGAATGCAAAAAATAGTTTATCAGTTACGAAGAGGAAAACGCAGGTTTAGGGTAATGGTCTGATTCCGCTAGTCCGTGTATCGACGCAACCATCACGGGATAGAATGTAGAGGAGTACATAAAGGGGAATAACCTCCATTCCTGCTCACACGGGAAGTAATGTAGCAGTCAGATCGAGGTGAATTCTGGTAAGGGTGGTAACATCTGATATTCTTTAAATTGTCATTCGTTACGTTGCCTCCATATCGTCATCTCATGTGCCGATAATTGATGTTTTGAGACTGTTTCCTTGTTGGTAAGGAAGTTTCGTCTTCGTAGATTGTTTGCCTTCGTTATTTTCATTTACCAGATCAGTAGGGGTACTTTATATCACGCAGACCTTGATTTCAGGTGTCCACACGCGTGTAGTGCAAGGAACGGCACGACAAAGGGTTATCCGGATAGCTTAATGGACAGGCAAAGGGCAAGCCTTCAGATGTCCTTTTTTGTAGAAAGGACGCCTACTTTCTCTAGCGTAAAGCTACGCCACGACGCACGCTCTACTTTGATAAGAAGTAAACAAACGTGCAGCTTCCCAATTTTTTTCGGATCAGCATCCTAGACCTCTATCAGTGGTTTACATCTATTGCAAAAGAATGAAAGAGATACGGTAATATCAATGGTGCCCTTCCAGAGCTTTAGGTGAACGCCAACAATATTCACATCTGTGTCCAATGCGTGATCTGCTTACTTCAGACCGTGCGAACATCAGTGTGGCCGTGTAAAACTGTAAATATTACCACCTGCGACTGAATATATGCCTTTTGAAGAACTTCGTCCAAGGAGTAGTGTGCATCATGATTGCAGCTCTAGGTTGGAGAAAGTGGTTCCTTCTCTGCAAAAAAAAATGACTAACATTTGAGGGCTCTCCTGAATCCAAGTGACTATATGGAAATCCCCTTTTCGAGGCTTCATGCTTTGCGCCACACGCGTGAGGATGCAACGATATAAAAGTTCGCTTGATGTATAGGAACGATACTGATCTGGTGGAGAAGAAAATAAAGAGGCAGTCAAGATACGAAGATGAAACCGTCCAATGCCATGGAGTTTTTGCTGCGTAGTGACATGGCGAAAAGAAGGGTATGTGCGGACGGTAGATCGAGGAGTATTAAACCCTGTCCTCCCATCCTTACCATGATTCCCCTCGATCTGGCTCTATTGTTTCCGGGTGGGCAGCAGGAGAGGGAGGCTTTCCTCATGTACAGCTCACATACAGTAGTGGTCAAAAGTGTTCGCTGAAACGATTCACAGTGCATTATTTTCTCTC